AGAAAAACATATGAGAATCAATTGCACCCTTTTTAACGCTAAAAAAAATGCTAAAATTGAATTATGGCAATCGATTTTACATACCTCTACAATCAATTGTCACTCTTTAGTGACAATCGATTGTCACAACCACAAAGATGACATTTTATATGTTACAAGATGGATTTTGAAAAGCGTAATGCAATAACTTAATGAATGATTTAAAATGAATATGCTTCAGCACTTATAGTCTATTGATAACGAATTGCATATTTGTACCTTGATAATCATTCAATTCTTTGGATTAAAAACATAATTGTGAGCATAAACATCCATTGAAGTTCTATATAATTATCTTGACTTGAACATACACAATTTTGACCTTCTTTCCACATATTTGTCTTCGTCGAAACACAGTATCAAATAGAATCTTTTCTTCACATGTTAGACATGTGACTCACACACAAAAGAGAGTTGAATTATGGGTTTCAGAAAAGTGGTAATTTAAAAACTTTTTTTTATCATTATTAGAGTTTAAACATATTTTGATAAAAATTGTTTTAGAAATTAATAGCGAAAAACTAAATATGCAAAAAATAAAAAGTTAAGGGAAAGAGAAATGACATACAGGTTTGACCATGGCAGCTTGAATAGGTTATTTGGTGCATAGGTGAATGCACTACATTATGCATAAGTGCAGGCATTGATGTTGTTTTGATGTTGGTTATGCAGAGTTAGCATAGCTGGTAGTTGATGCAGGTACAACAACATACCAGGCAGGAATTGATGAAGTTTGGTGGCTCTTGTCATGCCAAGGTACAAGGCCATGAATGATTTTGGACAAGAAATGGATATGGAGTACACATGGTGCAACAACTTGAAGATAACATGAAGACGGGTGAAGAAAACTTGGAAATAAATCTAAGGTCATCTCAGGGTTATGGTTTGACTTTGGCCAACTGTTTAATCAAAAGTCAATAGTTGATCAAAAGTCAACTATAGGTCAAAATTACGTTTATTTTATGTAATTTTACTCCTTTTGTAATGAATTCTCTTGTATTTGAATATTGTAATGGATTTTGACCTTTGAAATGTATTGGTGACTTTGTAACTTGCTTTTCAAGTAATAAAATACTTTTCCCTCCATTTGTGAATTTCAATTTGAAACTTCTTTGAATGAAGCATTTTGACCAAAAGACTAATAGCTCATCCAATGTTGAAAGAAAAAAAAGAAAATCTAAAAGACTTGGTCAACTATTTTGACCAAAAGTCAACAGTTGGCCAAAAGTCAATTGATCCATGAATGACTTCCAACCCCCTTTACTTTCATGGTATGCACCAATTTAATAGTCATAACTTGGATATGAAATGAAGAGACTTCCAAGAATTAGGTCAAAAATTCAACTTTCAAAGTTGACTTTGACCATAAAGTCAATTGTACCATAATATGTTCTTTTCCAAGCAACCCTCCATACATGATAACTAATGAACCATATCACCACAAAGAGTAATCCTAGTCCATAGCATTTTCTGGAATATCTTGTACCATAAGTAGAGGTGGGAATAGGCTGGGTCAAGTTAGGCTTTGCCAAGCTTGAGCCTGACCTACTAAAAAATTCAAAGCCTAAGTCTGGCATGTAGTCTATCATATGCTTATTTTTTGGCCCAAGCCTGGACTTTTCGAAGGCCTAATTAGCCTATTAGCCTGATTAAAAAGCCTATATATTTAAGCATATGCAAATAAAAAATTCAACTAATGTTTAAATATACTAGAGAATCAAAAGTACAATGAGACTAAATGTTTGTTTACATTGACTTATTTGAGCTTACATAGTAGCATAAGTTTCATGATATTATTTGTTTAGGAGAACTTATGAAAATAACTTATGACATTAGTTATAAGGTTTGTTCAACTTGATTTCACAAGTTCTTTGAGATAACTAAACTTTACTTTTTAAACTTAATTTCATCTTATAAATAAATTTATTCATATTTATTAAAATAGACTGGTCTGATAAGTTTAAAAGGTTTTTTTTATGACTTGTGGCCTAGCCTAAGTTAAATATGCTTAAAAAAAGCATGGCATAGCCTTGGCCTATGTAAGTTAGGTTGTAGGTCCCTATTAGTTTGTCTGACCTATTCGCACCTCTAACCATAAGTAACCAATGAGAATCAATAAATCATTTGATCAAATCACCCAAGTACAAGTGTTGAGACATCTAGTTGAATTCACGAACCTTTTAAACCAACGGTGAAAAAAATGAATGATTGGGATAGATGTATGCAGATGAATTTGAAAGCATAAGCCAGATGAAGTTGAATGAAGGGTAAGGCAAAATTTGGGGTATGACATAGAAGCAGCAGTTTACCGTTGAATGATACAACAAGTGACTTTTGATGCCTCCATGATTGGTAAACTTGAAGAAGGATCTGTTGAAAAGGGATTTGACAGTCGTGGAAGAAGATAAAGAAACTGAGATCTAAACTTCTAAGAGAGGAGATCTAAATCTTTGGATTTGAGGATATTTGAACGTGGAATTATGTGGGAGTCATATTTTTAATTCCACAAACGACACCAATATTTTGTGATGAAACCATAATTATTACAGTGGACTTGAACTTCTGCTACAGTGGAGAAGAAATCGATCTGCAAGATTAACACTTCAATGCATAAGTTACTAAAAGAGTAAAAAGATTAAATTGAATATTAGATACTCTCCTTTTAACCGAATTTAAATTATCTTTATACTAAAGTTTAAATTACCTTTTTTTTTTTAATTTACAAATTACACTCTTCTTTTAACCAATTTATCTTTCTATACTAAATTATGAAATACAATTTCTTTATCTGAATAAACTAGTCAGATACCCATGTGGCCGCATAGATAAATTTATTTGATACGATAATTTTAAAATAAATAATAATTATGTTCTGGTCTGGGCCCAACCTCAGTCCAGCCCAACACCACGCACGGCTCAATAAGTGAACTGGCCCAACCGGGCACGCGCGTCCCATAGGACGGGCAGGACACGCCCCCAGGGATAGGCGACGCGTCCGACAGCATCTCCACGTCCTCTCTTATCGGCCGAACAGGACACGCCCCGGTACGTCGAAGCGAGACCTTTGGGTCCTCCACATCCTCGCGTTCTCCTCACGGAGAACAAACGCACCTCCGGGGAGCCTCCCGAGCTCCCCTCCGCGGGGAGAACAACGTGCCCGACCCACGTTCTCCACGTGCTCCCCTCCGCGGGAACACGTCATCTCCCAACTGCCCACCTCCGAAAGAGCAGGTCAAACCCACTTTCCGGAGATCACGGGACAGTTGGACTAGGGCGAAGACCACGTTCTGGTCTTCACTACGCCACGTAAGCCCTAACAGTCATTAGGGTTGGGCCTGGTCATCCAGCCCACCTCAAATGACCGTTGGCCCAGCGCTGGGGTCTCTCTATAAATACCCTCTTCCTCAAGAGGGTCAGGTAACACACTTCTTACCCCTCTTTCTGTACTTCCCCATCGCCCTGCCCAACTTCTCACTTTGGCATCAGAGTGTTTTGCAGGTACACCCCCCTTTTCTTCCTCATCACCGGCGAGCAAGCAGCAGTCCAACAGAGTGTGGCCAGCCCATGATCCCCTTCTGATCAGGTCAGATCAGATTATATAAACTCAATTTTAAAATAAACAGTGATACGATAATTTTATTTGATACAATATAAAATACATTTATTTACCTATATAAATTTGAAATTAGTTATTTAATTATAAAATAAAAAATAATTATATAAACTCAATTCTATTAGATAATTATACAAAAAGAAGAAAAAATAACTCGTGAGAAGAAGAAAGAAAAAAAAAAGAAATTTTAATATTTTGAAATAACGATTTTGTCTTTCAAATTAAAGTAAATTGTTGATTAAAATAAAATAGACATTATGATGATAATGATCCGTGAGATCAAATAATTATTTGATACGATATGGAATGTATTTAGATACACATGTCAAATTTGAAATAATTTATTTAATTGTAAAATAAACAATTATCATATAAATTTAATTGTATTAAATAATCATACAAAAAGAAAACGAAAAAGAAAAAGAACTCTTAGATGGTTAAAGAAAAAATCAATATTTAGAAATAAGGATTTTATATCTCAAATTAAGGTAATGATTGATTAAAATAAATAAATATTGTGCTGATAGTAACTCGTGAGATAAAATAAATTGTTGATTTTATTAAAATTAAAAAATAGATTATTAGAATTTATAATGATAATAAATATATAGAGAAAAAAATTAAAATAAAAGTAAGAAAGTGTGAGAAAAAATGTGAAAGAGATTTGAAATTTTAATCAAAAGAAAGAATGAATGGATGTAATATCTAATTGTGATTTAATTGATGAATATTTAAAAATAAATATTTCATATAATGCTAATGAGTATATAAAAGATTAACATTATTTAAATATATTTTTTAATATAAATAATTTATAATAAAAGAATAATTTAAAAAATGCATATAATTAATTTTGAATAAGTTGATAGTTGATATTTAAGAATTTAAAACAAAAATTTTTAATTTTAATTACAAAATAATATAATAAAATATATAAAAGTAGTTAGTTAAAAATGCAAAATTATTTAATTCTATTAGGACATATCAATTAAATTCAAAAATAAAAATAAAGTGGGATTCACACGGCAATAAAGGCTACACACATGTTCAGCTTGCATTACTCTGATTGAACGTACCAGTAGCATTAATATCTCGACAGAATTTTCTTTTTATCATTTGTCAATTTCAATCATAATATAAAACAAAAAAATTAAAATGCGCATTCAAGTAAATAACGCATCAAACACATGGAAACTTCCTGTTTCACATCCAAAAACCACAAATAAAACTAACCAACCCTTAGATCTTCATGGAACCAAAACAAACACCTACAGAAACACACTTCTAGTTCTTCTCTCAGTTAAACTAAACAGTTCGTGTTTTCTAAGGTTCCTCCGACCACCTTAAAATGATGGCGAAACACGACAGCTGTTGTTCATGTTGCTCCGGCTTCATAATAACCATGGGCCTAACCGCTCTCTTCATATGGCTAAGCATTCGAGTCGACGAACCCAAATGTTACATCGACCACATTTACGTTCCTGCCCTCAACAAAACCCTCAATTCCACTTCAAACTCCACCATCCTCTTCACTCTAAAACTCGTTAACCCCAATAAAGACAAAGGCATCCAATACGACGCCGTTTACCTCCGTTTCGGTATTTTCTTAGATCTCAACACTACTCGCTCACTCGGTAACGCCACCGTTGAGAGATTCTATCAGGGGCATGAGAAAAAGGGTCAGAAGCCCGGCTCGATGAACGGCGTTGGGAATTTAACGGAAACGGTTAACGGTAAGGTTTATTTTCGGGTGGATTTTGTGACGGCGGTGAAGTATAAGATCTTGTTGTGGTGTACGAAACGGGATCAGTTGTGGGGAGGGGCAAATTTGGAAATTGGAGATTCCGGTGAGAAAGTGTATAAGAAAGCTGTTAGACTTGGGAACTCACCGGTGATGATTGAGTCCAGCGCATCGGGACTGTACGGAGGCTATCGTGCGCTTCTGATATTTTTGGTTGGGTTTATTGCGATTGGGTTGACTTGACTTTGACTGAGTTTACTTATCATAGATAAACTGTAGTATTTGTAGTTTTATTAGTGTTTTATTTTAATGTAAATCTTGAATTTTTTATTCTTCTGTAATTTTATTCTTTATTTAATCACAAGTCGTTTCTATGTTTAGATTTTGTGTCGAAATTTTTTATTTTTCAAGATGGTGTATATGGATCACTTAAGTTTGTTGAAGGTATAAAGATGTAGGAGAATAAGTAATAACACGGTCTTCACTCTATTTTTCAAGATGTGGAATTGCCTTTTTCCAATCAGCCATAAACTAAACTTGAAACATCTACCTCACTTCAACAAATCTAAACCTACCTATTTATCGGATTTGTCTTTACCATAATCAATAAACTTTTTATAAATAAAAAATTAAAACAAAATAAATAAAATATTTATTTATAAAATTAAAAATTAAAATAAAATAAATAAAAGAATTAGAGAGAAAATTTGAAGAGTAAAAATTTTACTTAAAAAATACATTTTGTAAAATATTTTTAAAACAAATTTTACTTAAAAAATACTCCGTATTGCATACATTCACAAATAAATTAATAAAGGGAATTTAAGAGTAGGGATGGAAATAGGTTAGACCAATTTGCTAAGTTTAAGTTTGGCCTTATAAATAACTCAAAGCCTAATAAAGGGAATTTAAGAGTAGCGTATGATAAACTTATTTTTAACTCTGAGTCTAACATTTTCGAAGATCTGGTTGTCCTATTAGCCTACTTAAAAGTTTATTTAATTTGAGCATTTGTAAACAAGAAATTTAACTAATGTTTAAATAGATTAACAAATTAAAAGATCAATGACACAAAAAAATTGTTTGCGTCGACTTATTCAAGTTTATCTATAGCATAAGTTTTGTAATAATATTTATTTTAAAAAACTTATGTAAACAGCTTATGATATTTTTCATAATTTTTTTAATTTATTTTCATAAGTTTTTTAAAATAAGTAAACTTTATTTTCATATTTTTAATTCAAAGTACAAAATAAAATATAATAGTAATAATAAATTTATTCATATTTATTTAAATAAGTCGATTTAGTAGGCTTAAAAGGTTTTTTTATGGTTTAGACTTTTTAACTAAATAGACTTATAAAAAAGTCTAGGACTTTTTTATTAAAAAATTTGGTCTGACTATATCGTAGGCCCCTGTTAGTTATCGTGACTTATTTTCATCCTTGTTAGTTTTTGTTTATGTTTTGATTGATATTAGCAATATCCACAACATTCTCCAACCCATAATTGCAAATCATCTACGCATACTTACCAAAGATATTGTTGTGAATCAGATGCCTTTAAACAAAGTATAAACAGTTTCTTATTGATCAAGAAACACACAAGGGTTAGGGTTAACAAAGAAGACAAGGTAAAATAACAAAGAACAACAAGGATTGGTTATTAAACTGCTATTATTTTCTTTCTCTTAGAACAAGATTACAAGTATACAAGAATAACAAAATAACCTCTCTCCCTTGAAATTAGGATTTTATCTTCTTATTTTTCCTTATGCCAAGATTGAGAAACTAGTATCCTATTTATAATAAAATAGCACACTAACCTAATGGGCTTATTAACAATTACCCATTACAAACTAACTTAGAGTACAAGCTAACTTAAACAATTGGGCTTACAAGCAAGGCCCAATTCAACATGCTAACAACCCTAGCAATATTGACTAATGCATGTTAGAACAGACTTCGACTACAACATGCATTACTCGCGAACAGACTTCGACCATACTAGAGTTCGACCCAATATCTCACAAATCTCCACCTTGGATCTAACTCTTTAACATCAAGAAACTAACTTTCTTCATGCAGCTTTATTAACTGCATACAGTGGAAAAACTTGCAACTGGGCAACGTCTTTTCTTTTTCCGTTAAAGCAGCGTTCATGGCCGTCTCACCCTTTGACGCTTCCAAACAACCCTGCTAAACCAACAAGGCTTTCATCTTCAAGCGCCACAGACTGAAGTCGTTCACTCCGGTGAACTTTTCAATCTCATACTTTGTTGAAGGCATCTTCTCCACGCTCACCGCACCAATTTGTTGTGAATCGGATGCCTTTAAACAAAGTATAAACAGTTTCTTATTGATCAAGAAACATACAAGGGTTAGGGTTAACAAAGAAGACAAGGTAAAATAACAAAGAACAACAAGGATTGGTTATTAAACTGCTATTCTTTTCTTTCTCTTAGAACAAGATTACAAGTATACAAGAATAACAAAATAACCTCTCTCCCTTGAAATTAGGATTTTATCTTCCTATTTTTCCTTATGCTAAGATTGAGAAACTAGTATCCTATTTATAATAAAATAGCACACTAACCTAATGGGCTTATTAACAATTACCCATTACAAGTTAACTTAGAGTACAAGCTAACTTAAACAATTGGGCTTACAAGCAAGGCCCAATTCAACATGCTAACAACCCTAGCAATATTGACTAATGCATGTTAGAACAGACTTCGACTACAACATGCATTACTCGCGAACAGACTTCGACCATACTAGAGTTCGACCCAATATCTCATAGATATTCTAAACCTTTTTTTCATGGTTGACAATGAGTCTTATTTGCAATGCTCTAGTTTATCTTAAAGTTTCTATCACGCTTTAAGTGGTTGTTTGGAATTGCGTTTAGAGACATGTTCCAAAGCAATTCTAACGTGAAAAGTGAGAAGCTACCTTTTGTAGATTTAACTAAAACGTGACTTTTTGATGTGGTTTTAAAAAACGCGATGTTGTACCAAACATACACTAAGGGTGTGTTTGGATTGGCGGTGAACAAAATTGAGTTTGGTAAAATTGATTTTAACAGAATTGAATTTATCATAATTGATTTATGTTTGGTTACATTTATGTAAAGTGAGTTAAACAATAAATTTCAGTAAAAAATCACCCAGAATCAATTTTGAAGATAGAAGCTACAAATTCTAATTTCAAGTAAAATCAATTCTGATGGTAGAATCAAATCTACTTTTGATAAAACAAACATCTCAAAATCACTCAAAAAAAAAAAAAAAAAATAGAGAAATGTTTATATTAAAAACCAGTAAGTTTAAACTATTTAAAAATTTAACCCACAATTTAAAATAATACTACTCATCCTCTTTCCAAGAGTTTTCACCGGTATATTGATCATCATTGAAGTAATTGCGTGATTCCATTTCCACATTCAAGAAACAGAATCATTCACCACTTCAACCTAATTCATTCTATTTCAACTTCAAATGCGCTTCTACCACATTATTCGAAATCTACGCGCTCCCTTTCGCTCACATTCACCCACCAAATTCAACCCTCATTCTTCTTCTTTTACATCATCTTCTTCCACCCACTCCAAACCAGATGTCAATTCTATCCTCTCAAGCCTTCACCTCCAACAAAACTCTGATTCAGGTACCTTTTCATGCCACTAGTGACAACAACCACAGAAATTGTTTCTGGGTATTCAAGATTTCGACTCATTATGTTAATGGGTATTGTTGTATTCGATTTTGTTGGAATATTTGAGTGTAAAAATGTGATTTTTATTTGTTTCTGGTTTGGGTATTTTGTTGTTGCAGATGAATATTCTGAAGGGGTTTTTCAGCAGATTTCTTCTGTTTTTTACGGTAAGTGTTTGTTAAAATATATAGTATCTATTTTGTTTAGGATATGGAAGAAAACTCAATGAAGGTCTCGGTTCTGTAGCTTAACTCCTAGTTTCAACTTTTTTCCATCTCTTATGAATAGTTTGTGTTATCTTAGTAGTTAGGGATTGAACCTTGGACTTGATTCTTCAACCCTTGAAGTGGCCTAGACTATGTTGTCAAATAGAGACTATAATGGCGCTATTGCTTAGCGGAATTTGAACAAAACGCTATTGTACTGTGATTTGCGATTTTGTGCATCTTGTTGTCATATAGCGAGCTATAATGTCCTATGAAGCATGGACATCAAAATACGACACAACACGGACACTCAAACACTAATAATTTCAAAACCCTACGACACTGACACTGCTTCATACATGACTCGTATCTCTCATTGATAACATTGTTTCAATACCTATTCAATCCTTTTAGATGTTTGTGAGAGTTGTCCAAAAAATGTATAAGGTGTGATAAGCAAAGAAAATAACTTATTTTTTAAACACTTGTCTGAATTGTCTGACACGTGTTGTTTGAGTGTCGTATACTTGTCATACTTGGTTTCGGAAAGTGCGGAGACAAAGAAAAAAAACTATTTTTTTGGACACTTGTTTGACTTCTCCGACACATGTTGTACAAGTGTCATACAAAGTTATTAATAGCGGATAGCAGAGTGGCCGACCCCAAAAGTGGGATAGCGGATAGCGAGACAACTATTTGTACTAATATTTATATAATAATTTATAAAACATATGTCATATACTTAAATGTAAAACTAAACAAATAACACAACACTCAAAAGATTTATAAAATCCAATGTCAAAGAACAATGCTTAATCAAGATTCAAAACATTAGAACTCGTTGTAGAGGAAGATGTTGTCATATTGTCTAGGAAATAGGAGTACAACATAAAAAATAAAATAAAAAACTCAACAGGATGAATGAAAAGGGATAAGAACTTAAAAAACCCAAAAGAAGGAATAAAAACTTACTTGAAGAAGAAGAACAGAGGAGGAGGAGGAGCGCCAGAGAAGGGGGTGCTAGTTGCCGGAAGAAGTGAAGAAGTGAGTGTTAGGGTTGAGGCAGTGAAGTGAAGAAGGAAAGAAGCAATAACGTGTTAGGGCAGGAAAGAAAAAGGAGCCTGGAACTTAAATGTAACCGAGAGGGAAAAAAAGAGTTTTAAAATTTTTAAAAGTAAGCGCAAAATAGTAATTTTGAATAAAAAAAATAAAAGCGGGCAAAACTGCTCTGCCAAGGGAGCGACCGCGACCTGCGATTGTGCCAAAGTAGCCCGCATTTTGAATCGCCGCAACGCTCCCGTCTTCTCACTCGGTGGTTGGCCGCTCCGGCCAGACTGCCCGGGATCACACTGTTCGCGGCCGCGATTGATAACTCTGGTGTCATATAAGTGTCGGACACCGCTGCACAACTACTCCTAGAGGTGTTTGTGCTTCATAGATAATGCCGCTATAGCAATGTAGCATAGTAGGATTTGAACAAGTCACTATTTTCCGCGATTGACAACAGAACCAGCTCAACAACTTGAGATACTACTAGAGTATTGTTACTTATTTCAGGTGGTCAGTCAGTCCAGGGAGCTTATTCTGAAGAAACTGATGCCACTAGTGAGTTTGAAAAAATAATGAATATATCGCAGTTGCCAAACACACCCCAAAGCAATATAGCACTGCGAAGAGAAGAGGCTTCTCGTGAAAAGAAAAGAAAATGCATATTCAATATTAATCAAGAACAACGTTTCCGCCGCATAATTGAAAGCTGTGGGAAGATACTAGGAACTGAGGCGACCCTTGAGTTGTTTGATAAAGTTGAACGAAAACCAGGTGTGACAGGATACAATGCATTGGTAAAAATATGCATAGGTAAAGCTAGGGAAGCTGAGAATGAAGACATTGCAATTGAAGAGATGGGGAAGGTTTTTCACCTTTTTGAGTTAATGAGGGAACAAGGTTTAGAGCTCGAAGAACAGACATATGATCCACTTCTTATGTATACAATTGACATGAGTATGGTCGAAGACTTTCTGTTTTTCTGTCAGGTTATCAAAGATGAGAATCCTGGCTCAACTGCAAGACTGGGTTACTATGAAATGATGATGTGGTTAAAAGTTAATGATGAAGAAAAGATTCAGGGTCTTTGTGATTATATTGCAGAGAATGATGGCGAGGACACTTTTGATTTACGAGGTACGTGGATCTTCTATTTATATTTTTTCACTTGTATTTCTTTGTCATAAACTGTTTCTATGAAGCTGTGCTCAAACTTCTATCTTTGAATTTTTACCGTAACATATTTTAAGAAATTCATGTGTTTTTCACATTACGCAGACATAATTGATGTCTTTTAATTTTTTTTTGATTGTTTGAATTGAACTATTAACTTGATGCTGCTTTTTATGCACATTGATGTCCAACAATAACATATATTTTGTTTCATGTAGTAACTTAGATATTTACTTGATTCAACTTATGTTGCAGAAAGTTATTTATTGGCTCTTTGTGAGAGTGAAAGGAAGGAAAATATTTTGGAGGTGTTGGAAATCATGGACATAAAAAAGCTTTCATCTGTTGACTCTGTAGCAAAGATATTTCAGGCATTGGGAAGACTATCATTGGAACCTGTTGCGGAGAAGCTCTTTTTTGATTACAAAACAAGTAGTAAGATGATGATTTTTATCTTATCGTCACCTTTGGTTTAGAAAGAATATACATTTTTCTTACGACTTATGAGCTTCTGTTTCTCTTGAAATTTATACTATATGCATTATTTGGCACAAATTACAACTGCAACTATTGTTTTTTGGTAATTGTAAATTACTGAGATTTTCTTACACTTTGCAGATCATGAAGAAGATAGTATAACAAACTTCATTGCTAGTTATGCAATCAGCATTCCAAACTTACGGGTAAAAAAATCCTCACGCATGATAAAACTTTCTTAAGAAAACGATACTATTAAGTATTTTGCTTTATTCAGTTTACTTCTTCCTAAAAGGCTAGAACTATATCACCAGTTTCACATTGTGTTACCTCAAACTTTAGTCATGATTGATGTTGTATGAAACCCAGTTTGCATGTTTCTTTAAGCATATTGTAGTGATGATTTGTCGATTAACTTATTTCCATGATTCTAATCTCTTTAGCACCGACACCTTTGAAAAAAAGGTGTGTCAGTGTCCGTGTCCGAAATCAACACCGACACTTGTGATTACGTTTAATTTATTCATTTACAGGTGTCGACGTTTTAGTGTCGGTGTCGTGTTTTCGGTGTCCATGCTTCTTAAATTCTAATTTATTGTTTGTGTTTTTGAAGATTGAGGATGTCATAAAAAAGTTCAAGGATTTTCACGAAAAACTAGAAGTTTTACCTTCTTCCTCATCATATAACAAGCTCATTTTACATGGCTGTGCATTGCTCAAGGTATAATTATTATTTTTTTTTTCTTGATTATTAAGTTACTTTCAGAACTTCGTCTTTAAGAAGAAAGGAAATCTAGTACTCAGAAGGAAATGAATATTAAGAAAACTTTTCAGTCCAGAAACATATTACTCAATTGTTCAGTGTTCAGTTTATTACTCAATTGTTTACAAATCTGAATCTGAATCTGCTTTCCCTTTCCCCTTGCATATAGGAGCACACTTGTTCTGATGAGGAGTTCGATCAATTGCTTCTGCTACTTGAGAAACTAAACGGTACAACCTATTGGAACGATGCTTGCTGCAGAATCATATTGTGTTGTATTTGGAATAAGCGTTTAAGGTTTGTGTTCATTTTTTATTTCACTTCCATTGATTTATTTCATCTAAAAAATATTATTTTCTATTCACTTGTTGGTTTTGTTTTCGTTCAGGTCTGCTATTGACTTGTGTAAGCTCCTCAAGGATAAGTTGCAAACTGATGAATTGGTTATGAAAGTTCTCTTTCATAAGGTTAGCTCCTCCGGTTCACTTTTTATGCAAATTTTATCAACTTTCAATTCTATGTTGATGAGAAACATGACTATTGTTGACTTGTTTTGACTTTTGACAACAACTTTTGACGTGCATGATTACAGGTATTTTCTCTAATTGAAAAGTTGGAGTCGAAATATTCGCAAACTGCCCTGGAGTTGATTTCAGAAATGAAGGATAAGCTTGGCCTTTTGCCTTCACAAAAATGTTATGATTCTCTGCTTGCTGCATGGTGCAAAGCTAATGAAAAATCTCATAATGCTGAATGAGTCTCCTTAATAAAAGATTGTATATGTAGTGTTCATAATTTTGATACTAATAACAATAGGTGCTGATGTACATACTATTTAATGATGATATTTTAATATACAATAGTATCACTTTCATCATTTAAGTTTCTATAATTAATCATTTTCTTAAGAACCCTGCGCACAATACATTCATGAAACCATAGTGTCGAAGTGTCACTAAAACAAAATTAATGTTGATTAGTAATATCATATTCTTATGACAAGTTCACAACATTGTATTTTGAATTCAAAAGGAATAAGCAACAAGTATAGCTTGCCTGCACCTAGCCTTAGCTTGATCAAGCCTCTCACCCAAAGTATCTTCCTTAACAGCAGCTTTCACCATAGCCAAATCCATTTCCATCAACTTCAAAACTCTAAAAAGTTCAACAACCATTCTCTCTTCAACTTTCCCGTCATCTCTCAAAACTTCTGCTTCTTCTCTCGCCCTTTCCGCAACGATTTCACCGACTTTCGCCAACAGTTCTGTCGAACCAAATTCCTTCCTCGTCATAAGTTCCTCCAACTTCTCCAGAAAATCAGCTACCACATACCCTATTGGCTTCTCAAGGTTAATCTCTTTTGTCCTTTTCCAACCGATTTCAAAGTTTGGTGGCTCGGATTTCGCTAGGTCGGTTTTCGGCCTCCTCTGTCTTACTATCTCTGATCTTCTTCTTTTCTCTAGTGGAAATGTTTCTGGACTGTTCATTGTAGTGTTTTTAGGGTCTGGTGTGGGAAATTCGGGTGAAGAAGAAGATGAGTTTAATGAAGTTGTGCATTTTATGGAGAAGTGCTTTTTGGCTTGAAAATGATTATTGTGTAGAAGATGAGGTGCAGGATATGAGAGGAATGTTGAAGCCATGGGTGATAGTTTGAAGTGTTAGTGTTAACAAAGGGAATGAAGGATAAGGCTCTTTCATTTTATGGTTGATTTTTGGTATATGCATAGCTCTATCACTTTTCAGATAATAAGTAAAATTGAATAATAGTTAAAGTTGTATAATATATATATATATATATATATATATATATATATATATATATATATATATATATATATATATATATATATATTACGTAAGAGAAAAAAACATTTTAAGTAGATGCAATTTTTTTAGGCAGTGTGTAAGTTGTTTAATACATATTGAATAAATTTAATTTATATAAATGATCAGATTTAATTACATTATTAATTTTCTATTTTAGTTTAATTAAAAAATCATTTTCTTTATTTTAAATTATTTAATTTTGACCTTTTTTCTACCATTTTATTTTGTTGTTGTGCTTTGACACAAATATACTTGTGAATTATTATTATTATTTTTTTCAAAATAAAAAGAGTAATGATATGATTGGAGAACTTTTTTCCATTATAAGATCTAATTCTCTTGATATTTTCACCAAATTAATTTTTTATTATTGAGAGAAAAATTATGAGATCAGTACTTACTTTATATTTATTCTTGAGAAGAAAAAGTCAAATAATTCGAGTTCACTCATATTTGAAAGCAACAAAACATCAAGCCGTCCCAGGCACACTTGGAATAGAGGATATACCTCATACAATAGTATGGACTAAGTGAAAAGGAATTATGCATTTTTATTATTTAAAGAAAAACATAGCCTTTTATATTTTGCAATTTTACATACTTCACAATGAAAATTCTCCTTAAAATTCTGAGACAATTTGGCTTCTGCAACACCTTTTGTGATTGGATAAACACAATTCTTCATTCTACTAAGATATCTATTTCTATTAATGGTTCTTTTCATGGTCACTTTTCTTGCAAAAAAGGGGGTTAGACAAGGTGATCTCTTGTCCCCTCTTCTTTTCTGCATTGCTGAGGAAGTCCTCAGCTTAGACATTTTCTGGTTGGTTGATCAGGGCAAACTTGATTTGATCAAGGGTATAGAGCTATGAATGTTCTTTCTTATTCTCTCTATGATGATGATATTGTTATTTTCTGCAAGGGGAAGCATTTCAACATTGATTCTCTTTTGGAGCCTTTTCATGATTATGCCAGTATTTCTGGTCAATTTGCAAAGCCCTCCAAGTCTTTAGTTTATGTTGGTTCTATCTCTAGAATAGATTACAGATCATTGCCCAAAAGCTTGGTTTTTAAATTAGAGGCTCTTCTTTCAATTATCTTGGTGTCCCTATTTTTAGGGGCAAACCAAAGACTAGGCATTTGTCTCCTATAGCTGATATTATCAAGAATAAGCTCACTGCTTGGAAAGCTTCTCTTTTATCTATAGTTGACAAAGTTTAACTTGTAAAAAATGTTATTCATAACATGATTCTTCATAGCATCCTCATTTACTCTTGGCCTATTGGTCTTATTAAGAAAGTTGAGAAGTGGACTAGAAACTTCATTTGGAGTGATGACATCTCTAAGAGGAAGCTTGTGATTGTTTCTTGGCAGAATCTTTGCAAACCTATTAAGGAGGGTGAGCTTGACAATACGAGTATCTCTAAACTCAATGAAGCTACTGATATGAAGTTGGGTTAGGATTGTCTTCACTCCCAGGAGGATTGGGCTACTCTTTTGAGGCATAAGGTGCTTAGGAAATGGAGTACTGTAAAGCATCACGTATACTCTTCTTTTTGGAGCAGTTTTAAGAACAAATTTCACCTGCTCGTGGGCAACTCTTCTTGACTGCTTGGTGATGGTTCAAAAATCGAGTTTTGGTTGGATAATTGGTGTGGCAAACATTTCATTGAGGATCATCTTAACCCTCCCATTTCCATTAATCTTTCTGCTAAGGTTCAACATTTTATTTCCAATGGTAACTGGTGTTTTCATGCTGTTTGGTGTCAAAATTTCCCTCAAATCATAACCATCAACAACTGCCACATTCCTTTGGAATATAAGGTTGATGAGTTAGTTTGGAAGCATTCCCCCTCGGGATCTTTATCATTGAAGGAGGCCTATCTTCACATAAATCATCCAGGGCCTCATTGTCTTGGTGTAATTCCATTTGGAACCCTTCTTTCCCTCCTTCCAAATCTCTTCTTGTTTGGAGGCTTATGCACAATATGCTCTCTTATGATAAAAATCTTAAAACCCCTAGTTGTTATGGCTCTTCCATATGCAACCTTTGCAATAAACATGAAGACTCTTACACTCATATCTTTTTCTTTTGTCAGTTTGCCACTGAGTTATGGACTTGGTTCTCTGGGCTCATAAATATGGCATTCCATCCTCTTTCTCCTAACGAACTTTGGTCGAATATTGATCCCACTTAGAGTCCGCAATGGCTGCTTGTCAAAGTTTCCATAATCAACATTATCAATGTTATCTGGCTTCATAGAAACCAATTTCGCTTCAATAATATCTCGCATAGTGTTATTGTCGTCAAAAGATGGATTGTGTCCATTTCCAACATTACGGGTAACCACACCAATCTTACTTCCACCCCTTCCATAAGGGACTTTGTTCTTCTTAAAGCTTTTCACACTAGTGTTCATCCTCCAAGGGGTATGTGTACTAAGGAGATCTTTTGGACCCCCCTCTTGGCTCTTGGATTAAGTGCAACACGAATGGTGCGACCATTGGTTGTCTTTGATTATCTGCTTGTGTTGGGGTCTTTAGAGACAATGGTGGTTGTTTTCTCAGAGGATTTTGGGTGAATCTTGGTATTAGAAATGCTTTCCATGCTGAGTTATTAGGTGTCATGTTCGCTATTGAAACTACTGTCAAGAAAGGTTAGGACAATTTATGGATTGAAACTGACTTAAAGTTTGCCATTCTTGCCTATAATTCTCCTTCTAAGATTCCTTGGATGTTAAAAAATAGATGGTGCAATTTTTTAGTACGTGTTCGATCCTTGAAATAGATGGTGCATAATAAAACTATCTAATCTAATTAAATAATATAGAAATTTATAATTATAAAATAATTTCATGAAAAATACTTTTATAATTTCTTTTCAGCGTCATGATTAATTTATTTTTAAAAATTAAATGTAAAAACTTGTTTATAAATTTTTTGAAGGCAAGATAAAGCAACATATATTTAATGGAAATAAGTACAAAGGGATTAGAAAATATAAATGTTTTAAAATTGGATAGTTACATCTAATTCTATCAAATAGAATGTCTATGCAAGATTTCTAAATTTCCCACATCAGATAATGGGTGATGTGGCAAATTTTAATGATAAGAATTTGTATAAGTATAGAAAAATGAGAAGCGAATAATGTATGATTTTTTAATGATAATGAATGATGTGACAAATTTTACTGATAAGAATTTGTATAGGTATAAAAAAATGAGAAGCGAATAATGTATGATTTTGTCTATTAAAATTTTGAAGGCAAAATAAAGCAACATATATTTAATGAAAATAAATATAAAGGAATTAGAAAGTATAAAATTTTCAAATTGGATAGTTACATCTAATTTTGTCAAGTAGAATGTCTATGCAAGATTTCAAAATCCTATATAAAGGGATTAAAAAGTATAGGTGTTTTAAAATTGGATGATTACATCTAATTCTGTCAAGTAAAATGTCTATGAAATATTTCTAAAGACTATATAAAGGAATTAGAAAGGATCGATGTTTTAAAATTGTATAGTTACATCTAATTTTGTCTATGCAAGAATTGTAATGCAAGAATTTGTCTATAGTTACGTCTTATTCTTTCAAGTAGAATGTTTATGCAATATTTCTAAAGCCTACATAAAAGGGATTAGAAAATATCAATGTTTCAAAATTGGATAATTACATCTAATTCTATCAAGTAGAATGTCTATGCAAGAATTGTAATGCAAGAATGTGTCTTTTAAAATTTTGAAAGCAAGATAAAGAATGGTGTGAAATTTTTTAATTATGTGGCGAATTAGATGTTGGCACATGGTTTAGTGCTTTTGTTTTAATATATTATATAGATGCAAGAATTTGTATATTAAAATTTTGAAAGCAAGATAAAGAAATTTATATTTAATGGAAATAAATATAAAGGGATTAGAAAGTGTAAATGTTTCAAAATTTGATAGTTACATCTAATTCTATCATGTAGAATGTCTATGTGTTAGCTGAGAATTTCAACGCCAAGGTTTGATTGAGTATGATGAATAAAAGAAATGTTTTAAAGATGTTTTAGAATTCGAAAGGAGCATTATTGAGATCCTTAGTCGAATAGGTCCTTTATGAGAAGGATATGCTGAGTTAAGACTTAGAAATATTTCTAAGCTTATATTGCAATTTCGACGGAGCCAATATTAAGGATGCGTTCAATAGAGATTTTGAATTTTGAATAAGGATGATAACTGTATTTGTCCTTATCTGTTTCTTAAAGGCGACGCGTGAAAAGCTGTGGCGAATTGGAGACATGCAAACAAGAACGTGTCATTTTCTAGAGAAAAGACCGTTGATAGTGGTTATTTTTGACATAGTATAAATATGAGTCTTAGTGTATAGAATTTCGGGTGTTCAATCATTGTACAAATACTCATAAATTACTCAAAGTATCTAAGTGTATTGAGAAACGAGTTCGTTGAGAATGTATGTCTGAAACACCATATTTTTCATTTCAATTGAAGTTATTCTCAGTTTTATCAATTACTTTTTCATTGCAATTTACTTTGAAGTTTCTTTATTGCAATTTCTTTACAAATTCTGCAAATTTACCTTTTAAAATTTAAACATCTTCAATCATGGATATTGTCGAAGTGTTCTTAAGGTTTTTAAATATAGTTTAAACAATAACACATATCCTAGGATTCACTGGTTGATTCTGTAAAGTAAACCATTTTTGGAGACCAGCAGTTGTTTACCAATTTTCACGGTAAAGAAATTGGCAGACCCAATGGGACAATGCTCGTGTTTAAACATTTTTTCTGTTTTGAAATTTTTTTGT